CACACACACACACACACACACACACACTCACGCTCCACCTGTTCCCGAAGGGTTCTCAGCCTCTAGATGGAGACCACCCCCCTCACTCCACCCCGCAGCCAGTGGCCAGCCAAGTCCTGCTCATGCAGAGTCCAGTCCACACAAGCATTTTCTTTACACGTTGGGGCTTTTACTTCAATTTGAAGTAGATGGTTGAGCACAGATGTGAACAGCTTTGGCCTTTTGAGCACAAGGAAGGAGCAGGCCTTGACTTTGAACTGCCCCCTCCCTACACACTGGCCCATTCCCCTGGTCCCTTTCTCCCTGTCCCTCCTGCACACTCCAGTGGACCGTGGGCCTCCAAGCAGGCGGCATCTTGTCTGCCCAGCCATGAGGGTTGGACTCCGACAAGGAGTGGCCAGCAGGGCTGGCTGGGAGGCAAAGGTCCTCAGCAGGTGGCCTGGGGCAAGTCCCTGGGGCAGGGGATGGGGTACTATTGCTTCCTTTCCCTCTTACTCCCTGCCGGTCATCCTCAGGGCACAAAGAGGAGCCTGGGCCCAGGGAACATTGAGGACCAGGGTCAGAGTCCTGGCAGCCAGTGGGAGGTGGGTGTTGGGGCTCCCTGTCTCCCAAGCACCCCTAGCCTCCCTCTCACAGTCCCAGAAGGCTCTTCTTGCACCTAGCCAGTGCAGAGCCCGGTGCAGAGAGGGCACCAGGTCCAAGGGTCGAGTGCTTCCAACAGTCACCAAAGGTCCATCCCTTCCATGAGTCCCTGGGGGACTGCTGACCCGTCTTTGGTTAGAGATGGGACTCGGGCACCAGGATGAGGAAAAGTCAGAGCGATGGTGTGGCCTTCACTGCGGGGTGTCGTCACCCCATCCCGGTCAGTGTCTGTTGAATCTTTGGCAATGAATTTCTGCAGCTGATAATGGGCCTCAGGACCGAGCAAGGCAAAGGCTCTCGCCTCCCCGCCAGGCAGAAGGCAAAGTGCGAAGTCACCATGGAGTGGCCAGGCATGGGTGGGGCAGGCCGAGGGGTCAGGTGTGCTCCTGTCCACACTGAGGGCGGTGGGCAGAGCGTCTGAAAGCATCCTGTTGACCACGAAGCCAGATTGGCAGGTTCACCTCCTTCTCAGGCCTGATGGCACAGAGGCCCACAGCGGCATCCTCGTCTGGCCCACAGCCACTCACTCCTGAAAGAAATGACCGACCGTTAGCAGCAGCCCCTACTCGCCCCACTTCCTGTGTCCAGAAGACCAACAGCACCTGGTACCAGCACCCACGGCACTTCCTCTCACTTCTTCCACACAGGAAGGAGACTCGAGGGGGTCAGGAAGGGGTGCAGCCAGCTTGGGACGCAGGACTGGCTGCCTCCAGCCCCATTCTGTGTCCTTTCTCCCACCTCTGCATTTCAGAGCTCCTGCTATTTCTGCTGGTGTGGGGGAGCTGGCAGGACAGCAGGGGGCATGGGGGTCAGGGCCTTCGGGAGCTTGGGAACACCTGGTCTGATGCCACTATCTCAGGATCACAACTCTGAGGGACCTCAGCAGCAGGCCCACCCCACCCTGGGCTGGCAGAGTTCCTCTGCAGGCTGGCTGCCCCCACTGCAATGGCCACTGTAGCCCCTTTCTCCTGCACTGTCCAGACAGGAGCACCACACCGGGAGTCCAGAAGCAAGTCACGTAGCTTCTCTTGTTTCCTTACCTGTAAAATGGCACAGGTGAAACAAATGGGTCCTTTTCAAACTTTCTTTGAAGCAGTAAAAATGCAGTCTGGCCTGTGGAACCCAGCACAGACATAGACAGACATGGTTCTGTCCTCTGGAGCAGTGGACTGGGAGGACACAGAGGAGACCCAGAGTCCTACCACACTCCCTCCAGCGAGGACCCTGGGACATCTCTGAGGATCCAGGGTGCTAAGGACCCCAGTCTGAAACTGGCGACACAGGCTGCGGGGCACTGCTACTCAATCCTGGAGCCCCAGGTGGCCAGGGCTCAATCCTGGGCAGATCTGACCAGGCCGCTGTACCGCACCCTGTGGTCCTGGCTGGCTGGGAGGCCAGGGAGGAGTGAGGCGTTTCAAGACCCTGTCAAAGGTTCCTGTCTCTTTTTCTCTCTCAAAATAAACATACAACTGCTCGATTAAACGTCGTTCAAGCTCCATACAGCCCAGAGCTGTGCCGTCTTCACAGCTGCTCTGACTGCCGGCTTGTTCCAAGAAGGGACAGGAGATAGGAAAAGGTGGCAGAGGTGCTGGGTCCTGGCCCTCCAGGGCAGGCAGAGTGGTGAGGAGGTTCTGGGAGGGCTCCAGGCCTACTCGGAATATAGTCCTTTAACCTGGGACAACACACCCGTAATGAAGCGGCTGCAGATCCTCTGCCTCGATTCTCGCAACCACCCTGCACAAACAGCTAAGCACTTTTTTTTTTTTTTAAGCAAAACGTCTGTCAGACACCTCGGTCCCATAGGCCAGGGGCTTTGTCACATCCCGTCTCACGGGTGAGCAGTCGCAGGCTGAGAAGGGAGCGCGAGAAGTTGGCAGCAGCAGGATTTGAATCCAGACCAGTAGTGTTTATTCCATCACACAGAGGCTGCTCCGCTGGAACGGAGGCGGGGGGAGCCGGGACCGAGCCAAACCACGAGGCTGGAGGGCCTGCGAACCACAGGCCCTGGTGCGCCTCCCTTGCAAGCCTGGGGCGGCCAGTTGGACAGCGGCCAAGATGAGAGGCTGGGGCAAGGCTGGAAGTGGGGTCTGCAGAGGGTAGGGCGCTGGGCCAGGGGGAGGGAGCGTGCTCCAGCTCACAGTGGCTGAGAAGGGAAAGGAAAAGTGAGCGTCGGAGCAGCTTGATGTGGTAAACCGGGCTCACATTCTGCAGCCCACTGTGCACGGCTGGCCCCAACAGGAATCTGCTTTTTGTTACCGAGTCTGAGGAGGAGGATTAAGAAGCGGAAAGGAAACCCGTGGGGATGGCACTGGGTCTGTGGTCCAGGGGGTGATTTACAGCCCGCGTCATCCGTGCGCTGGCCGCCTGGGCGGGCCTGCCGAGGACGGGCCCTGGGCTTCCTCTCTTGTTTGGTCTGCCTGTGGTCTGGGAAGGAGTGGAAGGCTGGGGCGGCTGGAGCCATTCGACTAGCCGCCATGTCCAGGGCGCCC